TCCTGGCAGGGGAAAGCCGTTACCCACGGCAGCCAGCGCCCAGAGAGCAAGGAAGACCCAAGGACATCGGCCCCAAGGTCACGGACTCAGGATGTGGCCCCTGAGCCGCGTCCCTGTGACCCACTCCTTTTTGCCAGGCTGCCTCCTGTTTCCCCACCTCCCAGTAATGCCAGTCCGAGACATGCATAAGCAGAACCAGAACTGTGTACCCTGTTTCCCGGGTGGGTCTCAATCAGGTCAAGAACCTAGGTGAACTGTCTCGCAGACAGGGCCACGCAGAAGATAAGTGTGGCTGATTAACAGGCATGGGTTTAAGCTTTTAAAAATGTTTCCCAGGAGATGACAGGCTGCTGTGAGTCCCCGTAAACGTGCTTATCCTCTTGCCACTTTCTGCAGCAGCTCTGGGGTGCTCCTTCCTGAGCGTCTGTGTGAGGTGTCATCCAAAACACGGTGACTGCTTCTTCTGACCACCATCCAGCGAAAAGGCAGCCCATACAAACAGGATGCTGTGCCCTTGTCCATCTCACTCACTGGATCTGGCGATGTGTGACTTCTGGCTCTTCCCAAAGTCAAAATGAGCATGAAAGGTGAAAGTTTTCAAACAGCTGAGGACATTGTGCTAGCTGGGGCAACGCAGCTGAAGACCCCCAGGGAAGGGAACTCCAGAGCTGCTGCAGAGATGGCACAGACAACGGGACGAGTACGTCTGAGCAAGGGTGAGGATTTGAGAGATGGTAATGAAATGTGTCTTTTACTGTGATCTTTTTTAAAAATTAAAAAATTATACTCCATGTTTTACCATGCCTCATAAAGGCAAAAAAGGAATCATCTTTGTGCAGCTGGTACGATTAAAAACAGCAGGAGAAAACGAAGAATAGAACTGATATTTAAAATTATAATCTACAGGAAGTTGATGGTAAGAAAACAGGTGAATTTTGTTTTGAGAGGGTTTGTCACGTATCTAGGAAAATTAGCTCCACGATGTGTCCCCACTCAACCCCTAGATTTCAAAGGCAAGGCGACCAACAAGACCAAGAAACAACCTGGCTGCCTCCACCTCTAGGAAAGACTGCGCATCTGGCCTCCTCTGTTCACGGATGTCCACTGAGTGCCAGTCACACGCACACACTGGAGGACAAGGAGTTGGGTGCCCACAACACATTCCCAAGAAACCTGGTACAGTGTGTGCTTCCTCCAGCCAGAGTGACGGGAACGGGTCCGCAGTGGAGAAAGTGCACACGTGAACAAGCACACACAAACGTGTACAAACGGTTAAAACAGAGGTGGGCTGGAGGGCTGGTGTGCAAGCATTGAGAGCAGAAATTATAAAACACAGGAATTTTAAGACGGATGAAATGGGAAATGCACCACCTCTCTGGTCTGGGATGGGGCAGAGAGCTGAGAGTCGTCGTGATGGCCTGGCTACCCTGAGGGGCCCAGTGGTCAGAGGAGGAGGAGCTGGGGTGCAGAAAGCTGTGAGGGTAAGGGTAAGGACTATACTAGCGAGAGAAACTTTCTTAACATCCAAAGGTTTTATCATTTAATGAAAGGAATACTCACCCCATAAGGGAACATGGCAAATACAGCAGTGCGTATGCCATGGTAAAACTGCAGTCGGCTTTCAGTCGCAACCATGACACTCATGGGTTCAACTAATGAAAGCAAAGTTTTCCAGCTGGCATTGGTGGGGCCACATTCCTGTAATTATAGCACTCTCAGAGGCTGAGGCAGGAGGGTTCCAGTTTTATGCTTAGCTGGGGTAACTTAGGGAGACCACATCTCAAAACAAACATTTACGAAAGGGCGGTGGTGCAGCTCAGGGCAAAGGCCCTGTGTTCAATACCGAAAAAGGAACTTTCCTTAGAAAGTGAGATCCACACGTATGTGAATACTGAAGTGACAGTGTGGGGAGAGGCTGAGAGCTGCTCCACAGTGCGGACCTACCCTCTGCTCGCTGGGTGCCGGCCGCTGCCCTGCCTGGGTGCTGTGGTGTGCTCTGAGCCTGGATGAGCAGACCCTGCCCCTGGCCCGCGGACCCACACTTCGGTGGCACTGCCAGGTGAGAAGCAATGCTGCCAGGAGCTGCACTAACGTCCCCCGTGGCCACACAGTATCCTGCTCTTGCCCACAGCTTGCTATTGCCCACTTCCTCCCTGACGTTTGCTACTTCGCATGCTTTCAAAGTAGCTATCTTTGCAGGGCGGTTTTTCCTCGTTTCATTCACAGAAAAGCACTGTAATAAGAGAGTTCTCCACACCATCTCAATAGGAGCTTAAATGAATAAAAGAAGGGAGGGAAGTGGCGTGAACAGCGGCATGGGAAGTCTAAAGGCTCCGAGTGCCCTGGACGTCTGGGCGTCAGGAACGCAGTCGCTTTACAATTGCTCCTGGGACAGTCACAAAAACTGATTATGCGCTTGGTCCAGCAGTGAGTCTCACAAAGTGGAAATATTATAAATAAGGCACTGTGGTTCAAGTACAGCAAAGCTAGAAGTTATTAACAAAGAGGAGAGGCACTGCCGCCTGGAACTTAGAACATATTCTTATTAGAAAATGTTTTGTTAACAAGGAAATACAAACTAAGGTGATCATATTTCTGGGAATAATGACATTAAAATACCATAAATGAGAACTTCATGAAATACATTTAAAGAAGAACATATTAAACACTTACTGGCAAAATAAAAAGATTAAATAAAAGAATTAAGCAGATCTAAAAGCCATAAAAAGAGCAAAAAGTAAACTATAAAGTACCACAAGGACGAAAATATTAATGACAAAGGCACAAATGAAAAGTGTAGAGGATGGAAGACGGCAGAGTCAACACAGCAGAATGCTGGGTTTTGGGGAAAATTAAACAAGACAAACCAAAAGCTTAATTTACTTAATTGAAAAAGTAAAAACATTTATAAAATAGGAAAAAACAAGGGAGGAATAATTGTGGACACAAAACTTTAAAGGTCATGAGACAATCTGAAGGAGTTGATGCAGATAACTGTGAAAACTTAGAAGAAACAGATATATTTCCAGGGAAATACGGATCAAAATCGACCAAATTGACCCTGTCTAATAAAAACACCCAGATCAAATTCTCTAAAAAGCTTTTAGGGGGTTGCTGCTGCAGAAAGCAGTGGACTGAGTGCTTTTGCTGGGTGCTTTCAATAAGCCTCACAAGTTAAATGCTTCCTGGACTCTGCAACTTTCCCCAGAGAATCAAAGGAGGAAAAAAAACATTATTTTTTTAATAAAGCACTTCAACCTGATAAAGAATAAAAAATACCCTAAGATTAATGTAATTGGATGCAAAATACTAAATAAACATTGGTAAGAAAGACCCAACACTATTGTAATAAAATTTTCAACATAGCAGGGCATGGTGGTATACATGTGTAATTTCAGAACTGTGGGAGGTTGAGGCAAGAGGATTGCAAGTTCAAGCCCAACCTGGACAACTTAGCAAGTTATTAAGTCTCTGTCTTAAAAATTAAAAGAAATTTAAACAGGGCTTGGAATAGAGGTTGGTGTAAAGGGTCTGGGTTTAAACCCCAGTGCAAGAAAAAAATATTCTACCACATAACCAAGTGGGTTTACCCCAGGGATGCAAGGTTGGTTCAGTCTTTGGTTGTCTGTTGATCATTCAGCGTGTTAATACCTGTAAGGAGAAAACATTATTTCCAAAGGTGATGCAAAAGACTTGAGATGCAAAAGAAACAAGGGGAGTTTTCTTCATGTGCTAACAGATGCATTCCTCTGTTATAGCCAGAATTTAACTTATGGGGTAAACACTAAAATCCCTAGGCAGGGACACCCATTAGCTACTGTTGGACTTTGCACTAGGTACATTGGCCAGTACAGTGAGGCCAGAGAAGTCAACGAGACAAACAAATCAAAGGAGAAAACATTTCTGCTTCACAGGTGACAGCACACTGAGCTGGGGAGTCCTGGACGGTGCAAGGCTAACGCAATAAATGCTGCATTCGGCACAGCAGCAGGTTGAAACCTCACCTCCAGGAACCCACTGTATTCATTACACAAACGAAAAGGGAGCAATGGCAGGAGAAAGCTCACAGCAACACAGACGGCCGAACACTTAGGAATAAACCTCATGTGAAAATGTGACTGGCGTGCAAGGAAGAATCCAAGAGTGCCTGACAGACACAAAGCATACTTGAATGAGCAGGAAGGTGCCATCTGTTCTTGGAAAGAACCTACACCCTAAGTATGATGGGTCTTTCTTAAATTTTTATGAAAGTAACAAGTCACAGTAAAATGCACAGCTTAAAGCGAGGAGAGTTAAACATGTAACCCCCAGTCAAAAAGCAAGAATAACACGGAAAAAGAAGAGGTGGCAGTGCTCAGAACCTATGGCGCCAGGAGGAGCAGGGATGTGTGGCTGGGAACAGTCAGAGCTCACCAAGGGGCCCTGGGCCCTGTGAGCCTGAGGGCCTGGTGAGCGCTGTGATCAAGGGCACTGAGGCATGTGTGGGGAGACCAGTCTGGAGGCACCTCATGCTACACCTGAACATAAACTCCCTGTGGGCCCCAGACCTCCAGGGGCAGGCAACGCTACACAGTGGGGCCAGGGAAACTGATCCCCACCCCCCCAGCCTCTGTGGAGGGAAAGATCTCCTAGTTGTGGCCCACGTTAAAGGGAATAAGAGACCGGCAATGTTGACAGCACAAAAATTGATCCTTGTTTTGCATGACAAATCACGAACTTCATCTAAAGTCAAATAATAAATTAAAAAGTGTACTTGTAACCCGCATCTCAAAGGTTTACTGTTCTTCCAAGTGAAGATTTTGGAATTTGAGGATAAACAACTGAAAACCTCATAGAAAAGGTGGGAAGGGGGACATTCGTATGGAAGGGTTGTCAAGGTGGCCTGGAAAAAGAAGATGTTTAAACTCATGACCCGAGCACTGTGGAGCGCAAGAGCCTAGGAGGGACAGGGGATGCTGCCCAGCAGGTGGGGACCGATCACCCTGCAGGCCTCTGCTCACCTTCAGAAGGGACCATCGGCTCCTGTCTGCTCTCAGGAACTGAGATGATCAAGGTATCCTCCGTGTTCTCTTCTTTTATGAAGAACATGGAAAACAACAGGAGACATTGTCGTGACCATACCCTTGTGCACACTGGGGCACTGTGTGCAGATGGCATACCCAAGGCTGGTGCCAACCTCAAGTTTCATCTGAACATGGGTGTGGAAAGTCAGAAGGTACAGTGTTCCTTCGTTCGGGTGCAGCGGCCACGGTCTCTAGCCAAGTTGCTGCCTTTTCCTGGGAAGGGTTTCTGTCTGTGTCTGTCGGTTTATCTGTCTCCCATTACATTCCCAACCCAGGCAGGGCATTTTGGGACACGTTTACCATTTTTGCCAATTATGCCCTCTTTGCCAGAAGAGAATTATAAATTCTCTGAAATTCCTGATAGTTCTCAGAACCGTCAGTGTGGTAAATCCCATCGATCCCAGCGCCTCTGATAAAGAGGGAGGGAAAGGATCTCTTAATCACCTGCTGGTGGCTGTTTTAGGCTCAAGCTTTATTTAAAAGTGTTAGGTTGGGGTAACAATAAAGTTTCCAAGTTCCATTTGAAAACGTGTGTCTGGAAGTTAATGTGCCGCTGCCCAGGGCTTGGCCTGGGTGGGCACCCGGTGAACTCGTCTGAATTTGTGCCGTTTATGTCTGGGTGCAAAGTTCCCGGCGAGCTCTCTGCCTTCCTGCTGCTGAGCGCACCCTGAGGTGCTGCCTCTGGTCCCTGGCGACCTCCCCTAGTCTCCGTGGGTCTCAGTGTGAGGCTTCACCCCCACACAGTCTGCCATGTGAGCCATGCTCCGGAAAGCCAGCTCTCTGCTCACCGTTCCAGGGGATCCTGGCTCAGCGGTGCTGGCCACAATTTTCCTCTGTGTGGAGGGACAGGGCACCTTCCGGCTCTCGGAGCCAGGGATGGCAGCCGAGGCCACTTGGGCTGTCATTTCCTTGCCCCCATCCTGGCCGACCAAGCCCCACACCTGAGCCCCTGGAGCCTCACTTCCCCCACCCCAGGCCCGAGCAGGCAGGGTCATCGGCTCCCCATCTCCCTCGCCTTTGCCCATATGCAGGGGCCTTCAGGAACCCCAGGTCATGATGGGTCCCTGGTCAGCACCACGTCTCTGGGGACATGCATGATTACAGGAGAAAACTGTATACTTGCTTTGTTTTGAGGTGGTTTGTGTTGATACTGTTACCGCTATTTTATAGAGGTCAGGAACTCTTGATTTGTTTCTTTCCAGCATCTCTTGGACTAGAATCTCATCTTGGGAAAAACACAGAAGAGTGCGCCATTAGAGCCCACGAGCAGTGCAGGACTGATATCTGTCTTGTCCCTGCCAGAGTGGGCTGGGAAGCAGCGCGGGGACCCAGGCCCGACCCTGGGAAGCAGCACCGTCTCCCTCCCTTGGTGATCTCCAGAAGTCCAGGCCACCTGCATTTCCCCTGGATGCTGCCTGCTGCCTCAATCTTGCAGGGCCCAGGGACCATGTGGTTGGTCTCTGGGTGGCCCTGGTTCTGTTGTCAGGGGACTGCAGGGCCCTGGAGCCTCCAGTGCTCCTGGCTGTGAGCTGGGTTTTGCTGCACACAGCCTGGCAGGTACATTGCTTGCCATGGGCCCAGAGTCATGGCATCATGATCACAGATGGAACTTCGGGACTGTGGCCTGCACTGACCTGCACCCTGTGCAAACTGGTGTCCCAGGTGTGTTGTCACAGTGAGATGCAAGCTATAGTCCTGGCCCCAGACAGGTCATGTGTGTCCCTCCTGCCCTGTGGCCACTCTGCCCTGTCCCCACCCCCAGCATGGATGGACATCTGTCCTGATGGCTCTGCAGATGGGCTTAGTGTTCTCCTGGCCTCCCGGCCTCTCCTGGGAGCTTTGGCCCCAAGGCCCTGGGCTTTGTAGGCAGCCTCGGCCCTGGCCCTCCCAGAGTGTGGGCTTCTTCATTCTTATCAACTGCCCTCTGCAGAGTGGGGTGTGGGCATAGCTTCTGGCTTTCTATGAAGCTCGAGGGAGTGGGCCACCACCTGCTGTGGGCAGAGGCCACACTGCACCATGAGCATCCAGTGGTCCCGACCCTGCTTAGTGTCAGCACCTCCTACAGAGCACTAGGAGATCCTGTGTGCCAGGTGCCTGCACCTCTGGGGAGTCAGCCTGTGTCCCTGCAGCCTCCCCACTGGCCTGAACACCTGGGGCTGAGGAGGAGGAGCCTGGGCTCAGCCTCAGACCTTGGGGCAGCACACTCGCCAGCTTGGCTCAGCGCAGATGGAGGCAGAGTCCGGGCGGGCTCGAGTGTGCATTGGGAATAGGCGCCAGGTGGCCGATGTGGACGTTGCCGTCGTGGACACTGCCATTGTGGCCTCGATGCGGGGAGCAGGGCACTGTTGGCTCTAAGATCTCAGAGTCCATGTCCATCTGAATTTCGGTCACTAAAGCCAAGGGTTGGGGCCTGTGATTCCCACCTGTCTCTGCCACCTCGGTTGCTAAGTGAGCAGCCAGTGGTCACTGAGACCCCACATTGGACCTCAGGGCTGGGAGGAGCAGAGCTTTATCTCAGCCCTTGGTTTCCATCCTGCTAGGTGGCTCTGGGACAGAAGTAGCTGGGCAGAGGGTGCCAGGGGGTGGGGTGGAGTGGAAGCTGTTCACCCCAAGGCAGATGGGGCGAGGGAAGGGAGGAGCCTGCGTGGTCACACCCCAGGGACTCCTGTAGGGCCCCTCTGTGATGGCAAAGCTGACCCCATGGCCAGGATGGATCCTGGCTGAACTCGTGATCCTGTCTCCCTCATGCGGGAGGATATAGGGGAGACGGGGCCTGAAGCCAAGCCCACTCCCCCACCGTACTTCGAGTTATTTGGGGAGCGCCCAACACAGCCCAGCCTCCCCACACCTGATGCGGGCACCCGGGTTCTTACCAAGCACCCCATGCATATCTGGCGTTTTTGAGCTCAATAGTTCTCCAGTGTTGGGACCTGTGATGGGAATAAAAACCCCAGTGTAAAAGCAGTTGTTAAGTGGCTTGTACCTCTCTGAAAGTGGACACAGTGGTTTTGGGGATGTCCACCCACCTGCTCTGGGAGACACTGAGTCTCTGTTCCTCCTAAGAACCGAGAGATGGCTACAGGGGTGTCCTTGGGACTGAGCTTGGAAGCTCAAGGCAGCAGGAGGAGGGGTGCGTACTTTCTCTTGAAGAGCAGCACACTCACTCTGGGAACTCGATGTCATGAATGGGAGGCCACAGGCTGGGAAGGTGCTGAGCCCACATTCCTACCTGACAGCCCAGGCCAGTGGGGGTGCACACAGCAAGGGGCACTCACACCCAGCCCTAACTGGAGGGGGCGGCCTGCCCAACACCCAGCCACTTGTCTCTGTGTTACTCTAGGAAACATCCCCCTACAGGCAGCCTGGGTGATGGCCTTTTGGCTGCAGCTCTCAAATCCCTGCCCAGCTCTCGAATGTGCACTGAGCTGCCCAAAACTCTCCGGGACTGAGTTCAGCTTTCAGCAGAGTAATATGCATTGAGATCTCAAAGCCAGACATGCGACTAGGAGGGAAGATGGCATGTGAGAAGCCACTTTGTGATATGCTTCTTTGCAGGGATAGGAGGACCCAGCCCAGGTCACCCCGTGTCTCTGCTTCAGGAGCTCAGCGCTTCAGGGAAGTGCCAGCTGTGGGCAAGCAGCGGAGCCCCGAGGAGCCGACTGAGGAAGGTGTCTCAGGCAACATCCACAGGGCCCAGTGCCATCAGATCAGGACCCGCCTGCAGGCTGCTGAGATTCCAGGAGCCGCGCTGTCCTCCTCTGGATAGGGCCGCCTTACCCCTGAGCGACCCCAGGATCTGGGATCCCCATGTCAAGGCCGAGGTCAGCCTCCTCCTGTGGCCTAGGTCTTGGGCAGCCCCAGGAGGACAGGCAGGTTCTGAGCGGGTGCAGCAGTCTGCGAGAATCTGAAGTTCCAGCCAAACCAATGACAAAGCTGATTTTCAAATGGCTTTAATGACAGACAATCTGCATGCCAATAGCTCCTCGCACACGTGCCCAGGAACAATGCGGGGAACGTGGAACAAGGTCTGGGTGGCGGGGACAATGCTTCCCAGGATGCTGACCTCGGGAAACTCAGCGACGACGCGGCGACGCTAGTACAGTGCTCCTCGGAGGCGTTGTTAATGGACCGTTAAGAATGGGTACAGCTGCGCCATGCCAGCGCTTTGTTAAAAATATTCTTTTCAGCGCGCGCCTGTCCCGTAATCACAATGGAGGCGCCATGCGAGTCTGCGGTGAGCCGTGCACAAAGCTTTCTCCTCCCACACTGCGGCTGTGAACGTGCGCCGTCAAGCGTGCGCCCCACGGCGCCTTCTTGTGGTCACCTCCTCACCAGAGCCACAGCCTCCTGATGGCAGGGGCCTCGGGTCAGGATCCGAGGCTTGGGCTTGGGCTCCGGCAGCTCCTGCTGGGTTCTGCATCTGTGCTGTAGGATTGGGAGTCGGGACAGTGCCACCTCCCAGGCACGAAGGTCACAATGGCCGCTATCTGTCCTCTTGGTGCCCAGCACCGCCACAGGTGGGCCCCACAGTCGCTGGGGACAGCTCACATGACCAAAGCTGGGGGGGCTCCCAAGCAGTGAGGAGACCACTCTGCCCGCAGACCAGGTGAGTGGATACCACCCCTTCACAAGAGGGGCCCAAGGTTTCCACCAGGTTTCAAGTGGGGGGCCTGAGACAGTAGGGATGCGTGCAGTGGGCGGCATCTGACAAGGGTGCTGTGTCAGCCTCCTTCTGGTGTCTTCCTGCTCAGGCCCTGAGCCAGGACCGGCTCAGCCTGTGTCTCCTGGTGTCGGCAGAGTCCCACTGAGTCGCAGCGGGTAAAACCCTTTGATATCTGTCTGGTCACTTGTCCCCCTGGCCAGATTCCTTGTCTCCGACAATGACGTGATGCCGGCCTTCAGCAAAGTCCTCTGGGGTCAGTGGGTGTGGCCCTGGCTGCCTGCATCTCGCCTGAGGACCTTCATCCTGTAGTCTGAGCCCAGCCCACCAGCTCTGTCTCCTCCTGGCTCTACTGCTACACGATGCGCAGACACCTGTGCTGCCACTGCTCATGGGGTCAGAGCCTTTGCTGGGCCCCTGATCCCTCATCCAGGACTCCAGTGAGCACTGCTGGTGTGGCTGCCCACCCAGACACCAGGACAGGAGCCTGATTCTTGGGGCTCCAGGCCCTCCCTGAGGCCTGGCTTCTTTGACAGGTCCCCGAGGAGCCCCGCCTCCAGCTGCTTGTTAAGGGGGTGCAGTCCATGATTCCAGCCCGACAGGTCTTCCTGCCTGCCTAGGCTGTTTTTCCTGTCCCTTGGGTCTGGATGTCCTGTCTGCTGCAGCCTTTCCTGGATGCCTGATGGACCTCTCACTCATTTCCTGGGTGCAGTTGATTGGCGAGGGGTGCTCTGCACTGGGGAGACCCATCCCTTCCTTCTCCTTCCCTTGTGGCCTCCCTGTCCTGCTCCATCCGCTACCCTGTAGGATGCTCGGGAGACTCAGGCACCCCACGTCAGCTACCATGGCAGAAAGAGGACAGATGGAGACAAATGAGGTATTCCATCCACTCACTGGCCAGCCCTGGGGTCCACAGTCTCCTAAGATTATGCACAGGGCAAGAGAAAATGCGGAAAGTCACCACAAAAGTATCAGTTAAAAAAGAAAACCTGCCTTTATTGACTAGGTAGACTCAACCTACCCCATTTTGTCATAAACACTACATAAAATGTATAAGTTATTTTTATAATTGATGAAAATACAAAAGTGGAGAGAGGCCAGTGAACATTTTATTATAGTTTTGACTGATTTGTGGCTGAAATCTCAGAGGGAAGGCTATAATGTCCTGTGTCTCCCTGTCTGTCTGTCTCTCAGTGCACCTGAGCAATGGACATGTGACATTTTTCTACCTTAGGATGCACTGCAGAGTTAGTTTACAACATTTTGATTGGCTTGGAGAAAACTAAGTGCTTATGTAAATGAAATATTTTTAGAGATACCAGAAATGCAGAAACTAATCCAAAGGTTTTTCTTGTTCACTTATCTGGGCCAATCAGTGGTCAGTGAACTAGTTTAAGATTGCTGGCTCCACAAAACCAGCAGATCTCAGGGCTGTCCTCAGGCTGAAATAACTCAGAAGGTGCTAAGGAGGTCATGGGTAGTTTGTTTGCTAGGATGTTTGTTTGGATGTTTGTATTTCTTAGGAAAGCAGTCTTTCCATGTCAAGACAGCTAGGGATTTTTTAAAAAACAACAATAACAACAACAACAAAAAACCCTAAGTAACTATGTTACTTTCTCTATTTGCCTTTAAAGTTTCTTATTGTCATTTTGGTTCAAAGGATAACTACTCCCTTATAGTAACCTGTGATCATATTCAAGCAAGTACTCAAACCTTTTGATATTTTTGACAACTTTCTGGAATCAGATTTTAGATGACGACTTTGAGATCTCAAGCTGATTCTGAGACTCCCCCAAGGACCCTGGGAAATCCCAAAGGATCTGTTCATTCATTGTATGAAACACTGATGTTAGGCTAATTAGTTTGATGTTATTTGATATTAAATTACATGGGAAATTTTGTCAGACAAGAAGTGGTGTTCAACCGTCTTTATGGCACATTTGTCTGGGTAAGATTCCAAAAGTTAACTGAGTTTCTAATTTCCTTCCTGTCCACGATGTAGACCATGTAGTGTCATCAGGTGTAATTTCAGTTACTGTCATAGAATCTTCTGGAATAGTCAGATCTCCTTGTTGATGGTCATAGCATGTGCTTTCCTTGGATCTCTAAGTGTGACCATTCTAAGGCTTTTGTCATTCACAGGCAAGTATAGTTTTTGTCTAGAGGAATCCATAGGTGGGGCTTTTGGAAGTGAATTAGGTTTTGAGGGTTCAGACCTGACTGCCACCAGGGGACGTGGCCTGTTGGGAAGAGGTGTGGTCTGTGAGAAGAGGCAGTCCCTGGGGGCGTGGCCTGGTGGGAAGAGGCGGGGCCTGTGAGAAAAGGTGGTGGTGGTAGGGGGTGGGGCTGAAGGTCCATCTCCCTCCTGGCCTCTCTCTTCTGTCTCTGCTTCCTGTCAGTCATGCCATGAGCAGCTCTTCTCTGCCTTGGAGCCAGCAGATTATGGACCGACCGTCTACAACTTGTGAGCCAAAATAAACATCTCCTTTAGGTACCTGGTGTCCAGTGTTGTGTCTAGGTGATGAGAAAGTGACTAACATTATTTTATTCTGACGTTTTTCTGAACGCACTTGCAATCTGCTAAATCCAAAAACTTTCATCTTTGAGCAGAGCCAGGGAGGAAACGCCAACCAGAGTCTGACTGAGGCTTCCGATGACTTAGCACTGTAACAAAAGGGCTGACACATCTCCAGATGGTCAGGAGCTGATGACTTCAGAAAGCCGCTGTCAATCTCAGGTCCAGCAGAGTAGGATTCATCACCTGGGACTGAAGGAGTTGGCTGGGCAATCATAAATTTATGAGTATTTTTAAAAACCTTCCTGGATAAGATTTTGTTTTAGAGTGTCAAAGCCTCACCTCCTTTCCGTTAGCCATCCACAGCTTACAGGACTGTGGTGTTGCACTTAACAAACGCAGTGAAATGCTTTTGTTTCTTCCCACTTGACTTCTCCAGAACCCAATTCTGATTTTCCTGGCCAGATCTGTGTGGGTTCAGTAGGAAGCTAGAATCCCTGCAACAGGGCGTCGCTGGAAGCTGGCGATGGCTGTGTGTGGTTGATCTTGGTGGATGAGAGGCTGATGTGAGACACCCATAGATTACAGAGCAGTCTGGGTGTGCTGGGCGGCTCATGGGTGTGATCCTGGGGAATATACCGATCCCTGGCCCCTTCCTCTTGGGCACTCTCCTGGTTCTGCTTCCACTGCCATGACGTGAGCGGCTTTCCTCCACCAATAATCCACCCCGGTCTGAACCTCTGAAGCTGTGAGCTGTGGCCTGGCCGTGGGCATACAGGCTTCTGCCTTTGAGGGGTAACAAAGGCTCCTGGCAGGTCTGAGAGCCTTGAGAGAAAGGAATTTGCCAGAGTCTTTGGGTCCCACAGTGAGTCCTTGGCTTGGCCCCTGGCCTCAAGGGCTTGAGAATCGTGGCTTGAGCTTCTGTCCCAGCCCTGCAGAGCCAGGCAAGGCATCCGTGGCTGTTCTTGCCACATTTATGCAAGCAATCAGGCCATACCTAGTGAGACAGAGATTTTTTAGAGGATAATAACTTTGATTATCTTTGATCAAAAAGGATGACAGTTAAATTTTGTTTTAATGAAAACTGTAGGGCATTTACTACTCTTTAAATGTTGTTCTTTCTCCTCTTTACTTCTTGGTCAACCTCTTTTCTCTCCTCTGCCATGACCTATGAGTCAGTTGTGTTTTGCAGTTGAGGTTCCCACCTGCCCAGCCATGACTCTTTCCTCCTCTCCTGCCCCTCAGTTAGGTCAGGAGAAGCCCAGTGAGCAGAAGTGTGGCATCCACACTGCTGTGAGGAGAGCATGACCATGGCTCTGGTGTTCACACATCACCAGGGTCACTGGGCCATCAGGACCATGGTGGATGCCAAGTCCACCCTCACTTGGCAGCCTGAGCAGTGTGAAGTCGAGAGTCTAGAAGAAAATCTGCCCTAAGGTGCCCTCTGGCCTTATGAGACGTGGTCCAACTGCCAGCTTTGTTTCCTTTTTTCCTCTCATGGAAATTCCCTCATTGAAAGCCTGACTGTGTGCATCAGGAAGCATCCTCCAGGGAAGCCCCGATGTGCTCAGGACTGTGTGTGCCTGAGGCAGGAGGGGATGACTCCGGTTCCATTTTTGCTCTTCCTGCCAGGCTCCAGAGGCACCTTTTGACCGATGTCCTGACCCCTGGCTCCACTTGGACCTGTTTTTCCCAGTTGTAGCAGGAGTCCTGAGGAGTCTGCTCAGGAAAACCCCAGCCTCCACGAAGTGCCAGGAGGTCTGGCCACCTAAGCCTCTTCCAGAAGATTTTGTGAGCCTGGCCAGCAGAGACTCACCTGATTGTGCCAGGTAATCATTGTCCACATGGACACATGACTCCTGGGAGGTGCTGGGGCAGGGGACCTGTGGGCATCTGTGCCCAGTGCAGAGATAGGCACAGCCCAGGGTGCCATTGGAAGGTGGGCCCAGCTGCAGGAGGTCACTGGGCCGTGCCATGTAGGGTGCTCTTTCCCCGCTCCACTTCCAGACACCACGAAGGGCACAGCTTTGCTCCCCTCTGTCCTTCTGCCCTGATAACCCTGCCTTGGAGCAGCTCACCATGGACTGAGTCCTCTAAAACTGGTAGCCCGATCCACCTCCTACCTTTATGCTTGGGAGCCAGGGGTTTGTCACAGCAACCTGAAAGCTGACCATACACGAACCTTTAGGAAATGTCCCACTGCCCACCGTGTCCCTTGCTGTCCGTCTCCACTGGGGCTTGTGAGGGCTCTTTGTAGTCTCCACTACTGAATAAATCCCACCTTGACAGCTGTCTTAAGGGTCAGGGGCATTTTTTCTTTAATCATCATTAGTTGCTATAAAGGATTTTGTTAATGATGTTAGTGTGATAATATTGTGAATATATACAAACATCACCTTTATCTTTAAACAAGAAAACACTTTACATGAAGTGCTAAGACACCTGGAATGGTGCTAAAATACTTTTCAAAATGAAGAAAGTGCTTCTGAATGCGCATGAGCACATGTGGGTGTGTGAGAGCCAGGAGTGTCTGAATGTGTGTGTGCACACGTGGGTGTGTGAGAGACAGGAAAACAAGATGAGGTGTGCACAGCCATTGAACCTGGGGATGAACTCTCGCAGGCCTGTGAGGGGCTCCTCTGCCTCAGGCTGAGAAACTCCCCATAATAAAAAGCTAAAAACATAATGTGCATTCCCACGGGGCTATGAACTTTATAAGGATAGAAAAACTTTCCCCTTCCTCTGTTCTTCGAGGTGGAAACGGCCAACTCTGGGGAGAGGGGAGGGGAAGGCTGTCAGCCACACTTCTGTCTGTGGGTCTTTGCGGGACTCTACCTGAGGTGATGTTTGTTGGCTGCAACTTGGTCTCTGGCCAGCAGGACAGCAGGAAGACCAGGAAGAGGGTCTCTGCTCCTCTGTTTGCCACCATGTTCCCTCCACCGAAGGAGAAAGATCTTCCTCTTGGTCTCCAGGATACATAGAATGTCAGGGACCTGTGACATCAGGACAGGAAGTGATCTAGGGTCTATGACAAGGACTTATGACATCAGGGCAGGAAGTAGGCCGGGTTAAGGCCTTGGGTGGGTGTGGAGAGGACTGGAGCCCTCCTGACTTCCTCCCGTCACTGGTCCTGGGGATGTCTCAGCCCTGGGACCTGAGGACTGAAGGGAAGGATGGTGATGAGGACTCTGAGCACAGACGGGCATTGCCTAGTTCATCTGGACCCATCAATCCTGGGCCATGTCCAGTGTTCCATTGCAGAGCAACAGCTGGTCCAACCTGGGCAAGGCAGGGTACTGAAGGACAGCCCTCTACGCACAGCCCAAGCGAGTCCGGATCAGACCTGACTCTGGACACACCATGCCAGCAGAACCCCCAGGATAGACCCCCAGGATAGACTCCTTGCTCTTTGTTTCTGATGCAGAACCTGAAAGTGTATTTTTATTTAGGTTTTCTTGACAGAAGTGATGGTAGCCAATCTACCTCAAGGATAAGAAGACCACGTTAAACTTTTGCGGTGTCCTTAAAGACTTGCTAAGCAGAGAGGACACAGCAGGTATCTGGTGCAAGTTTTCTGAGCGGAGCAGAGCCCAGAGACCAAGCTCTCCTGCTCAAGGGCTCTGCCACACGAAGGGCTGAAAAACACCTTGCTGATGCCAGAGCACACCGCAGTGTGGGGCTCTGCTCCTGGCTGTCCGAGCACTAGTCCAGGAAGCCTGGTGACAGTGCGAGGCTCGGGAAGGGCACCCTACCAACCTAGCCCAACAGGGCCCTCCAGAGCCAGGTCCAGGAGCTGATGTTGTCTCTGTTTCCGTGTCACTGAGACACAGAACTTCTCACCCACAGCTCAAAGGAGAAGAGGTTTACCATGGCTCACTTTCAGGAGGAGGGCAGGGCAGAGGGGAAGGGCAGGGGAAGAAGGGAGAGAAGGGAGGAGCAGGATGCTGATGAGCCTTTCAGGCCATGCCCCCAGGGACCACCTCCTCCCACCAGGCCCTGCCTGCTCACCATGATCCAGTCTTGAGCCCCAGCACCTTCCAAAATCCCTTCCTGGGAGTGCAGGAGGCTCCAGGGGATTCTAGAGAGAAATCAGAACAGAGGTCAAGGCCTGGTGCAGAGCAGGGCTCAGGGGAGTCTGGCCAAAGTTTGCTCAAGGAAGGAGAGCGAAGGTATTACTGGATGGAAGCTGTGGGCAGGGGAACCACAAGTGAGAGGGAACCAGGTATTGTGCATGTATGAGCACACACACACCCCCAGCACAAAAAAGCCTCACTGGGAAGAGCTTTGCCGATGGCCGGTGCACTCAGCAGAGTGGCTCTGGGTCCCAGGTAAGTAACTGGACAGTGATGCTCCTGTCCAGGCACACTCTGTGGCCCAGCTCTCAGGAACCAACAGTGGCGCCCCACTGTGTGAGCCAGGATGGGTGCTTTTTAAAATAGTTGATCAGCAAGTTTGCAGGACACAGCGGCCACACTCATTGTGGGGTGCTGGTGCCTAGCTGTCTCAACTTCTGTATCCCATCCCTCCCTCCTACCCTTAGTTCCATTCCTGTCTGCAAAAGACCTGCCTCTCTGCTTCCTGGTTATCTGTCTTTCATTTTGCTCCTCTATTTATTTATACTCCAGGTTTTTCACATAAGAGAAACCATGACATACTTAAGCTTCCGATTTCCTAAGCCTAGTAGGAAGGCTGGAGGGCTTATTTAGACTTTTTCATGGTAAAAATTCCTCATTTTGTATAAACATTCTGCCTCTGATTTTGTCAGGGTCTGGGGTGGGTCCCAGGGCAGAGTCAAAGAACATCCTGCTGCACAGGGTTGTGGCTTACGGCGCCTAGGGCTTATTTTGCTGTCCTGGCTTTCTTCTCCCCTTTGGTCTCTGATGGCCTCATCAGAGCCACCTAGGACCTGACGGCTTTGACGTGGAATGCACCATGGCTCATGGCTCCATAGGGCTGCTCTTCCGGCGTGGCCTCCCATGGGGGAACAAGGCCGAGGGGTCCCTTCTGCAGCAACTGCTTCAAGCAGTTCTGACTGGAAGACATAATTGCCAGCCCTGATGAGACTGGAGCCAAAGAATTCCTACTCTGCTCTTTGCTTCTGTTAGCCTGAATTTTATGCAACAGTGCCTCACATCTATATTTTCACGTAGCATCAAAACCAGAGGGGAACTTAGCAGAGCCCTCTGCCAGTGTGTTTATTCACTTACCTGGGGGGCTTCGGGGTCTCTGCCCTGGTTCTCCCAGGGCAGAGGTGGTTTTGTCTTTGAGTATCTGCTCACCACCACATCTTCTGAGACAGTGGAATCCCAGGGGAGAGGAAGCACCCTTCACAGCTCTTTGTTCCGAGAATTTAGAAGAATGGGACAAGGGAAAAGCAATCTTATTTCCAAGATCCCGAACTAACACTGTTCGCATTTTAGAATATTTGTGTTTAACTTTTAAATTTATGTTTTCACAAAATAATATAATAATGTGTACTCATTTTAGATAATGCAAACCATGTAAATACAAACAGATGAAAATTTTGAGTTGCCTTTTTTCCTGGCCTCATCGGTGGCTCAGGCTCTCGGCGGCTCCGGCCTGCAGGTCTGCCCTGTCTGGCGCGGAGCCGGTCTCCTGCGGTTGTGTGCATGGCACCCCAGCTTCCCACTGCATTTGTGGGGAGCAGCGAAGCAGGCCTCTTGCTGCACCCTTGTGGGTTTTCAGGACCACGTGGTTAAGAGCTCAGCTTGCTTGGAGTGCTCGAGGCCTTGCACAGGACCCTGAGCCCGCGAAGCCTGTGTTTCCTGATCACTGCTTGAGAATGATGGCTCTTAAGGTGGTTAGCCATCGTGTCCGCCACAGCACTGCCCGCACACAGACTGGCCCAGCGAAGGTCCTGGCTCATCTGTGTTCATCCCAGTAGACTCCCGGGGGCTCCAGGTTGGGTGGCTGGTTTCACTGCTTCTGTTGTCCTCTCCTGCTTGGTGGGGTGACAGGAGGACTAGGGCATGCAGCTGGCCTCCAAGGCTGGCCCAGGTGCTCAGTCCCAGCTCCTGCTCTTGTCATACCTGCAGCCCAGGGCTGGGTGGGCGGAGGATGCGGCTGCATTGGGGACCCGAGACACTCTGTTCTATAGCCTGTTTTGTGGTTTGGTTTGGTGATGTGTTCCTCTGTGTGGGCTGCTGTGATGAGTGCCACATGCCTCAGATGCTGTCTGTCGTGGCTTCGAAGGCTGGAAGGTGAAATAAATAAAGGTGCTGTGGCTTCCATGCCCATCGTGGGCCCTGCCGAAGTGCAGACTGCACCTCGCTCTGTCCTTGTGTGGTGGACAGAGGTCTGGGGTGGTTTCTCACAGGGACAGTAATCTGTCCTGGGCCTCAGCTTCACGACCTCAAGTCCCCTCTCCCAAGTCCATCCTGCTGGGGATTGTGGCATCGACACAAGTTTGGGGGTGCATGACTGAGAGGGAAGCGAGACTGGGAGTGAGATGGCTCAGGTGCAGTTGTGTCCCTTTGGGCAAATCTCTGAAAGCCTGGGATTCCAGGAACCAGCAGTCACTGAACTTGACTTGAGAACCTTCCAGGAGGATGCTTGGGCTGGCATCTAGCCCCGGGTGCTGGGTCGCTCTGGAAGCAGCGCTGTGGGCAACGCTCACGGCTGTGGGCCCAGGACCCTGCCCTGTGCAGCTGGCACCCTGGGGCTACTCCTCATACTTGGCCATGCCTCTGCCTATTGCCAGAGGAGTTTCTTGGCTTCTTTGTCCTGGTGGTGTGGCGCCCTGTTTGCTGTCTCTGCAACTCCTCTGTTTGCCTGATGACCCCTTATGTCTGATGGCAGGCTGGGTGCATCACCTGAACACACTCTGGGGCACTGTGGAGTGGCCCTGTGTGGGCCCTCAGGTCACGCTGACACCTGGCAGACAGGGGTCTTGGGTCAGAGCCAGAGATCCAGGGAGCCAAGAGCACTTCACACTGCCCGGGCTGCCAAGCCCCTAGAACACACTCTGCACCCAAAAAATTTGGAAAAAAACCCCAGGATGCTTCAGCCCAGTGGGAGGTGTTGGAAGAGCAGGACGCAATGACCCTTTACTCTGTATCCTCATGACACCAGCCTCTGGATCACAGGTCCCTCAGAACCCGCTGGCGGTCGTCTTCACTCATGATAATATCGTGCAGACCCGTAATTTGGCAATGCACAGATAACCAATTGTTTTAAAAACAGAAGTGACGCCGGCTATTATAATGTAAACTGTGTTCTAAATGAAAGAATTAAAGGAACATAATTGGGGAAGTATACAAACAGTGGTTAATATGCTGTTTCTTGCGAAGACACATTACAGCTTATAATCTTCCTTTATGGGTGTGTTGTTGGTGTGCAATCAGGCGTGTGGCTGTGTTCAGGTGTTGAACTGTTCTATTAGCGGGGAAACTGCTCTGTTATTTGCTGAGCTGTTTATGCTGCATTGTTGCTGGCGCTCCAGCTTCTCTTTCTCTGAGCTCCTTTCTCTGGTCTCTGCAATCTGTGTAATTGTCTTCCTTACTTTTGTCTTTACAAAGCTTTAAATAGAGATCCTGGGACGATTAACTGTGTCACAATCACAAAGTTCTGGAGCTTTGCAGATAAGTTGTGGAGATGCAGTGCTATGCATTAAAAGGCAGAGGGACTTGGGTCTAGCATGGGGGTAACAGTGGGGCTGTGGCCAGTGGCTGATTCCCCTTGTGAGGGTCCCCAGGAGGAGCATCTATGCAGATCAACCCTGCTGCTGACCAGTGCAGAACCACCGGTCAGTGTCCTTGGGGACACTGACCTTGACTGCCACAGCCACAACAGCTGTGTCCCAGAGGTCCTTCTGCTGCAGTGATGGCAAACCTTTTAGAGGTAGAGCACTCAAACTGCAACCCTGATCCCCCATATTTATTGCAAAGTGCCAACACTGCAGTTAAAAATGAATACTGAGGTTTTAGTTTAGAAACTCACATACCTGGCTCAC